GGCAAATTGAGGCATTGCAGCAGCATTGCCCATTGCTTGAAGATTGCTGCGAGAGCCTTTCAAACCTTATTGCAGAGCAGAACTCAAAAGTCGACGTTCTGACTGATGGTTCCTTCCAGAGCTCGGCTTTGGGGTCCCGCTTTGAACTACGGTTTCTACAGGTTCAGAATAAACTTTGTCGACTCTGGAAGGACGAGAAATCTCGTGAGATGGCTCACGAATACTTGTTGCGCTCTGTTGAAGTGGCAGGTTCTGCTCTCGGGATACTTGATGGTGAGTACTATTCTCGCCTTCAAGCGTTGGGATCAGTGAAGGGGCAATCCTTCGATGTCCCTCAACGCTGCGCGCCGAGAAGAATCTCCAGGATAAAAGTTAGTAGCTATTCGTGGACAAATTGAAAACTTTGTGGTTAGCGCGATCATCTACCAAAGGTAGAGTAAGATTGGCGAATCCACTAGGAAGATACGACTTTAGCGTACCCGCATAAAATGTAGGATGTAGGCGCATGCGTGTAGAGATGGCTAATGTATACGCGTCGCCAATACATTTCAACACCTTGGACGGTCCAATGAATCTTGCTAAAAGTTTCCTGCTTCCCAAGTTGGACGCTGCATGTTCAGGCAGATTTGTCGTGGTAAGTAGTACAAGGTCATTGATCATATATACCTTCTTGTTTTTCCTTCCGCTATTCTTTTTGCAGGTCCTGAGCTTTCGCAATTGCGTCTCGAACAAACCAAACAACGGCTAGTCTCTTCTCAATAAAGTCATCGTTATGCTATTTCTCACGACTTGTCATGTCGTCTAGAGGTCTCATTAATTCAAAATTTGCTTTAAACTCTGTGACAGCATTTAGGTCAGGCTGTAGCTCTACAGCCGTAGTTCTCCCCCACTTAAGGTAAACTTCGCCCATTATGGAAGCAGGTACTCCAGGATGAATACCATAGTTCACATAGCATGGCAAATGTCCTGTCGAGACATGCGTGAAGTTGTTCAACAAGAGGAAGAAATCGACACCACTCTTAAGCGACGTAGCGTAACTATGCAGTACGTCTTCCAGGACTCGATTCACAGGCTCTGTTTGGCCGTTCGTTTAAGGGTGTGCCGCTGTTTGACATGGACAATTTGGTGCTCAATAGTCCAATCAGTGCACGCCAAAATTACGACGTAAAACGATGTCACGGTCAGACACGATCTCAACAGGAAAGCCATGAAGACGGAAATAACGTCAACAATGACCTTAGCTGTCTTCTCGGTAGAGTTCTTGTCAGAAACAGGCGCAAGATGAACGATCTTGCTGAATCGGTCCACAAACATAAGGATGCCACTGTGTACGTGTGAGTCACGCGGGATTCCGAAGATGAAGTCTATACTCACGGACTTACAGCTGTCAGTTGATACTTCCAGGGACCGAAGTGGGGTCTGAGTGGAACCCGATGGTTTCCCTCTCTCGCAGATCTCACCAGTTCTTGCGCACCCAATTATACATGTGGCCGATAATAATCCCTGGATAGACTGAGAAACGTTTTATCACGTCTGAGATGGCCACCCGAAGGGCTGTCATGGTACTCATATAAAATACGATGACGCAAACCTTTTCGTCATTTGGAACAACAACTCATGCCGAATAGTGCAACAATCTTTTTGTGTACTCCAACACGGTGAGCACGCGATCTCGTGCGAGAAGAAAACCTTGCAGAGCTTTGTCGGAAGGTTAATTGAAATACTTCAACAAGTCGTGACATGTCTCATCATACTTGTACCCTTCGACAATTTCTTCGCGCACTGTAGTCGTTACTTGTACTCTGATCGTCCGAACATCTTCGCATTGTCGACATGACTCGTGTATGTTTTCGCTCCTGGACTTTGGGTCATAGTACGGACGTCTTAACAAAGATGTTCGTCATGCCTGGCTTGTAGTGTACAACAAAGTTATACACCGCAAAGAAGGAATGGAAAATCATCAAAGCATTCTTTGCGATAAATGAGGAGTCGTGACTGCCGTACGCAGTGAGGCATTATCTGGGTAGATAGCAAAGCGCTCCTCTCCAAGCAAGTAGACACGAAACGTAAGATAAGCATACCTCATTGCTAGAAGCTCTTTGTCATAAACTGGATAGGTCCGTTCCGCAGGCCGGTATCGTCGCGACTGATACGAAACAGCTCGCTTTTGGCCCTCATCATCGTTTTGCATCAACGCATAGCCGATGGCATAATCACTTGCATCGCAGACCACAAGAAAAGTATTATCGTGGTTTGCAGTCGCAAGAAGAGGAGGTTTTCTCCAACTCTTCTTCACTTCGGCAAATACCGCCATATTTTTGTAGGCAGAAAACCGTTCTGCACGCGACAGACCTAGATTCGGATGCATCAGTGTCATATGTACTGGACAATCGTCGTGGTGATCTTTTGACCATTCCCACTCAACGTTTAAAAGAGTCGTTAGGGGTTGTATCAACGCTGCAAAGTTGCGCATGTATTTTGGCAAATAGTTGGCCAAGCCCAACCATTGTCTCAGCTGTTTTAAACTGTTTGGCACGGACCAATCATTGAGCGATACGCCACTTTCCGTTCGGCTTCCAAACACAAAACGTGGGTGTCGAATGAGGGACTTGCTCTCACGCTGCGTCGTGCTCGCACGGAGAATGGCGTCAATAACGTCATACTGCTCTTTGGACAGAGTCCGTTGGCATGTTACACAATTTTCGGTTTCTGTAACCAGGTCAATCTCATGACGCACACCTCGGTCCGGAGGTAGGACCGACGGCGGTCCTTGGAGACGACGTCTTGGAATTACTATATCGAAGAATGATTCGGAATCGAGGGATTCTTCAGGAACAACGAACCAATTCGAGCGTTCAGCACCCCTTAGTGTCTTCCAGGACTGCTTCATCCAGAAACGACAACGAGTCAACCTCCTCATTCGGTCTTATAATGACCACCTCGGCTAAATTGCCTGCCTTCAGGGCACCGCCAAACCCTTCGAAGATTAATGCATATTACTATATTATTTAGGTATTACAATATTCATTTGGAAAACCTAGGGTTTTAGATATTGGCGGCTCTGCCGCAGCTAAAACAAATAATCATAGTTTCAATTTTGAACAGAAGTGTTCTTTTGCCTTGGAAGGTTAATAGTACTTGAAGGTAGCGGATTGCGATCCGCTACACTTGTACTGTTTCTTAGAAAGAACATAGCATGTCCTAAGGAAAGAGCTTCGGCAGCCCCGCTGCATCAGGTCTTCCAAGTTATGCGAGAGTACGCAAACCAGATATCCCCGTTCTCAGCTGCTTTGTGATCAAGAATGGCGTTCGTGTAGAACCCGAGAAAGTCAAAGCTA